AGTCTCTCTCTCTCTCAGGTCTCTCTCTGACCTCTCTGATCTCTCTCTCTGGTCTCTCTCTCTCTCTGGTCTCTCTGCTCTCTCTCTCTCCAGTCTCTCTCTCAGGTCTCTTTTTCTGTCTCTCTGTCTCTCTCTAGTCTCTGTCTCTGGTTTCTCTCTCTCTCTCTCTGTCTTTCTCTAATCTCTCTCTCTCTCTGGTCTCTCTCTCTCTCTCTCTCTCTGTCTTTCTCTAGTATCTCTCTCTCTCTGGTCTCTCTCTCTGTCTTTCTCTAGTCTCTCTCTCTCTCTAGTCTCTCTCTCTGTCTCTCTCTAGTCTCTCTCTCTGTCTTTCTCTAATCTCTCTCTCTCTCTGGTCTCTCTCTCTCTCTCTCTCTCTGTCTTTCTCTAGTATCTCTCTCTCTCTGGTCTCTCTCTCTGTCTTTCTCTAGTCTCTCTCTGTCTCTCTCTAGTCTCTCTCTCTGTCTTTCTCCAGTCTCTCTCTCTCTCTGTCTCTCTCTAGTCTCTCTCTCTCTGTCTAGTCTCTCTCTGTCTCTCTCTAGTCTCTCTCTTTGTCTTTCTCTAGTCTCTCTCTGTCTCTCTCTCTGGTCTCTGGTCTCTCTCTTGATTGTGTTGGTGATTCCCAGTAGGATAACCACTCTGCCACCAGGTGCTGTTCTCTCGTTGGCTCCGGGCTCTGGCTCTTATCTGTGTCTCTCACTTCAGAAACACAAACAACACAAAGTGAAATTAATGGAATTCCTGAAAATAGCACAGTTCACTTTTGTGTTTAATTGCTGTTTCTTTTTGCTAATTGTTTTGTGAACATAAAAAACTGTCAATACTGAGTTTATTTTGAGAGAGAGAGATTATACTTTTATTACTATCTGTCATTTCCTTTGAAACATTACCAAAGTGATTCTGTGATATACTCTTGTCCCTCATAGACATTACAAACATGGAGGACAGTCATGTATTCTGGTCTGAAGAAGAAGCATCATCACAGACATTATTATCTCCCGGTGCTTTACAAAGATTCATTCATATATTTTCATTCAGATTAAATGGAGATGATTTGACACCTGTTGTTCTTCATGTTTTGCCATAATTACAAACACACATTTGTTCCTCTCCTTTATCTAACAGTGCTGTTCATCGGCAGCACTCTCATCAGTCTCCTGCTGATGCCTGATGCTTTTCTGATGCTTTCCTGAACCCGAACTAGACCAGAGCTCTGCGTGTGTCTGTCACTCACAGCTGGAGGCGGCCGTCCGTGTACGGTCAGCTCTAGATCATATACGGAAGTAAAAATAACAAACTAACTATTCATGCCTAAACTTAACCAACCATTCCCATAAAATAACCCCAACCCAGCCTTAACCCTAAACTTAACCATCTTAATCAGACCCACCTTAACCCTAACCTTAACCATCTTACTCAGACCACCTTAACCCTAACCTTAACCATCTTAATCAGACCCACCTTAACCCTAACCTTAACCATCTTACTCAGACCACCTTAACCCTAACCTTAACCATCTTACTCAGACCACCTTAACCCTAACCTTAACCATCTTAATCAGACCCACCTTAACCCTAACCTTAACCATCTTACTCAGACCACCTTAACCCTAAACTTAACCATCTTACTCAGACCACCTTAACCCTAACCTTAACCATCTTACTCAGACCACCTTAACCCTAACCTTAACCATCTTACTCAGACCACCTTAACCCTAACCTTAACCATCTTACTCAGACCACCTTAACCCTAAACTTAACCATCTTACTCAGACCACCTTAACCCTAACCTTAACCATCTTACTCAGACCACCTTAACCCTAACCTTAACCATCTTACTCAGACCACCTTAACCCTAAACTTAACCATCTTACTCAGATCCACCTTAACCCTAACCTTAACCATCTTACTCAGACCACCTTAACCCTAACCGTAACCATCTTACTCAGACCACCTTAACCCTGACCTTAACCATCTTACTCAGACCACCTTAACCCTAACCTTAACCATCTTACTCAGACCACCTTAACCCTAAACTTAACCATCTTACTCAGATCCACCTTAACCCTAACCTTAACCATCTTACTCAGACCACCTTAACCCTAACCTTAACCATCTTACTCAGACCACCTTAACCCTAACCATCTTACTCAGACCACCTTAACCCTAACCTTAACCATCTTACTCAGACCACCTTAACCCTAACCTTAACCATCTTACTCAGACCACCTTAACCCTAACCTTAACCATCTTACTCAGACCACCTTAACCCTAACCTTAACCATCTTACTCAGACCGCCTTAACCCTAACCTTAACCATCTTACTCAGACCACCTTACCCTAACCTTAACCATCTTACTCAGACCACCTTAACCCTAACCTTAACCATCTTACTCAGACCACCTTAACCCTAACCTTAGCCATCTTACTCAGACCACCTTAACCCTAACCTTAACCATCTTACTCAGACCACCTTAACCCTAACCTTAACCATCTTACTCAGACCACCTTAACCCTAACCTTAACCATCTTACTCAGACCACCTTAACCCTAACCTTAACCATCTTACTCAGACCACCTTAACCCTAACCTTAACCATCTTACTCAGACCCACCTTAACCCTAACCTTAACCATCTTACTCAGACCCACCTTAACCCTAACCTTAACCATCTTACTCAGACCACCTTAACCCTAACCATCTTACTCAGACCACCTTAACCCTAACCTTAACCATCTTACTCAGACCCACCTTAACCCTAACCTTAACCCATCTTACTCAGACCACCTTAACCCTAACCTTAACCATCTTACTCAGACCACCTTAACCCTAACCTTAACCATCTTACTCAGACCCACCTTAACCCTAACCTTAACCATCTTACTCAGACCACCTTAACCCTAACCTTAACCATCTTACTCAGACCACCTTAACCCTAACCTTAACCATCTTACTCAGACCACCTTAACCCTAACCTTAACCATCTTACTCAGACCACCTTAACCCTAACCTTAACCATCTTACTCAGACGACCTTAACCCTAACCTTAACCATCTTACTCAGACCACCTTAACCCTAACCTTAACCATCTTACTCAGACCACCTTAACCCTAACCTTAACCATCTTACTCAGACCCACCTTAACCCTAACCTTAACCATCTTACTCAGACCCACCTTAACCCTAACCTTAACCATCTTACTCAGACCCACCTTAACCCTAAACTTAACCATCTTACTCAGACCACCTTAACCCTAACCTTAACCATCTTACTCAGACCACCTTAACCCTAACCTTAACCATCTTACTCAGACCACCTTAACCCTAACCATCTTACTCAGACCACCTTAACCCTAACCTTAACCATCTTACTCAGACCACCTTAACCCTAACCTTAACCATCTTACTCAGACCACCTTAACCTTAACCATCTTACTCAGACCACCTTAACCCTAACCTTAACCATCTTACTCAGACCACCTTAACCCTAACCATCTTACTCAGACCACCTTAACCCTAACCTTAACCATCTTACTCAGATCCACCTTAACCCTAACCTTAACCATCTTACTCAGACCACCTTAACCCTAACCATCTTACTCAGACCACCTTAACCCTGACCTTAACCATCTTACTCAGACGACCTTAACCCTAACCTTAACCATCTTACTCAGACCACCTTAACCCTAACCTTAACCATCTTACTCAGACCACCTTAACCCTAAACTTAACCATCTTACTCAGACCACCTTAACCCTAACCTTAACCATCTTACTCAGACCACCTTAACCCTAACCTTAACCATCTTACTCAGACCACCTTAACCCTAACCTTAACCATCTTACTCAGACCACCTTAACCCTAACCTTAACCATCTTACTCAGACCCACCTTAACCCTAACCTTAACCATCTTACTCAGACCACCTTAACCCTAACCTTAACCATCTTACTCAGACCACCTTAACCCTAACCTTAACCATCTTACTCAGACCACCTTAACCCTGACCTTAACCATCTTACTCAGACCACCTTAACCCTAACCTTAACCATCTTACTCAGACCACCTTAACCCTAACCTTAACCATCTTACTCAGACCCACCTTAACCCTAACCTTAACCATCTTACTTAAACACCTAAGACTTAACCAGTCACCATTTAAGGATGAATTAGTCTAAAATTAATTTGAAAGTAGGATTGTTACTTACGGTTTCGTCCCTTTGCCTCTGGGAGTCTCTGTACCCATGAGCCTTTGCCTCTGGGAGTCTCTGTACCCATGAGCCGTTGCATCTGGAAGTCTGTGTACCCATGAGCCTTTGCCTCTGGAAGTCTGTGTACCCATGAGCCTTTGCATCTGGGAGTCTGTGTACCCATGAGCCTTTGCATCTGGGAGTCTGTGTACCCATGAGCCTTTGCATCTGGAAGTCTGTGTACCCATGAGCCTTTGCATCTGGAAGTCTGTGTACCCATGAGCCTTTGCCTCTGGAAGTCTGTGTACCCATGAGCCTTTGCATCTGGGAGTCTGTGTACCCATGAGCCTTTGCATCTGGGAGTCTGTGTACCCATGAGCCTTTGCATCTGGAAGTCTGTGTACCCATGAGCCTTTGCATCTGGAAGTCTGTGTACCCATGAGCCTTTGCATCTGGAAGCCTGTGTACCCATGAGCCTTTGCCTCTTGGAGTCTGTGTACCCATGAGCCTTTGCATCTGGGAGTCTGTGTACCCATGAGCCTTTGCATCTGGAAGTCTGTGTACCCATGAGCCTTTGCATCTGGGAGTCTGTGTACCCATGAGCCTTTGCCTCTTGGGAGTCTGTGTACCCATGAGCCTTTGCATCTGGAAGTCTGTATACCCATGAGCCTTTGCATCTTGGAGTCTGTGTACCCATGAGCCTTTGCATCTGGAAGTCTCTGTACCCATGAGCCTTTGCATCTGGAAGTCTCTGTACCCATGAGCCTTTGCCTCTTGGAGTCTGTGTACCCATGAGCCTTTGCCTCTTGGAAGTCTGTTACCCATGAGCCTTTGTGGAGTCTGTGTACCCATGAGCCTTTGCCTCTTGGAGTCTGTGTACCCATGAGCCTTTGCCTCTTGGAGTCTGTGTACCCATGAGCCTTTGCCTCTTGGAGTCTGTGTACCCATGAGCCTTTGCCTCTTGGAGTCTGTGTAGCCTTTGCCTCATGTCTGTGTACCTTTGCCTCTTGGAGTCTGTGTACCCATGAGCCTTTGCCTCTTGGAGTCTGTGTACCCATGAGCCTTTGCCTCTTGGAGTCTGTGTACCCATGAGCCTTTGCCTCTTGGAGTCTGTGTACCCATGAGCCTTTGCCTCTTGGAGTCTGTGTACCCATGAGCCTTTGCCTCTTGGAGTCTGTGTACCCACCATGAGCCTTTGCCTCTTAGAGTCTGTGTACCCATGAGCCTTTGCCTCTTGGAGTCTGTGTACCCATGATCCTCTGCCTGTGGGCTTGGGTCTTCTGTCACAGTCTGTATTTAAATTTGCTGCATGTATTTGCCTCAGTGTGAGACTCAGAGGAGACCCAGAAACATGAAGCACAGGGACGTAGGGCAAGTTTGAGAAGTCACAGGGATTTCATTTCAGTATCAGTCTAAGTCCAGATGTGAGGACCTCTGCTGCAGGGCCCGGGCGTGGCCTCGGGACCCACTTCTCTAAATGTTGTTTTGGAAAGTTCCACAGTTTTCACATTTATCAGCTTCGTTTCAGACTCAGAAGTTTTTATTTTAGAACTTTTTAGAATTATTTAGAATTTGGATCATTCAGCAGAATTATAATAACTATAATACTAATGATTATGTATCACTTTTATTCAGCGCGACAGCCTCAGTCCTGGGTCTACAGCCTCAGTCCTGGGTCTACAGCCTCAGTCCTGGGTCTACAGACTCAGTCCTGGGTCTACAGCCTCAGTCCTGGGTCTACAGCCTCAGTCCTGGGTCTACAGACTCAGTCCTGGGTCTACAGCCTCAGTCCTGGGTCTACAGCCTCAGTCCTGGGTCTACAGCCTCAGTCCTGGGTCTACAGCCTCAGTCCTGGGTCTACAGTCTCAGTCCTGGGTCTACAGCCTCAGTCCTGGGTCTACAGACTCAGTCCTGGGTCTACAGCCTCAGTCCTGGGTCTACAGCCTCAGTCCTGGGTCTACAGCCTCAGTCCTGGGTCTACAGCCTCAGTCCTGGGTCAACAGCCTCAGTCCTGGGTCTACGGCCTCAGTCCTGGGTCTACAGCCTCAGTCCTGGGTCTACAGCCTCAGTCCTGGGTCTACAGCCTCAGTCCTGGGTCTACAGCCTCAGTCCTGGGTCTACAGTCTCAGTCCTGGGTCTACAGCCTCAGTCCTGGGTCTACAGCCTCAGTCCTGGGTCTACAGCCTCAGTCCTGGGTCTACAGCCTCAGTCCTGGGTCTACAGCCTCAGTCCTGGGTCTACAGCCTGAGTCCTGGGTCTACAGCCTCAGTCCTGGGTCTACAGCCTCAGTCCTGGGTCTACAGTCTCAGTCCTGGGTCTACAGCCTCAGTCCTAGGTCTACAGCCTGAGCCCTGGGTCTACAGTCTCAGTCCTGGGTCTACAGTCTCAGTCCTAGGTCTACAGCCTGAGCCCTGGGTCTACAGTCTCAGTCCTGGGTCTACAGCCTCAGTCTCTGTTGTTGTGATTTAAAACGATGAACAAATAGATTGACTTGAGCTGAAGTGGATTGTGGTGTTTCTTTTCAACAAAGCGGCTCCAGACTTAAAACAGTGTTCGCTCTCTCTTCTCTGGTCTGTTTTCCCGACGCTCTCTCGTCCTCGATGACCAGAGAGTGACTTGTGAAGCCGGGGGTGTTCTCTCTAATGGAAGTCTTGTCTCTGGCTCCTCCGCTGGGATCTGACTTGTGACATTTCCATTATGGCCCCTGTCCCCGTCGTGCTCTGGAGATCAGAGAGAGACCAGAGAGAGACCAGAGAGAGACCAGAGAGAGACCAGAGAGAGACCAGAGAGAGAGACCAGAGAGAGGGGCTAGAGAGAGAGACCAGAGAGAGACCAGAGAGAGAGACCAGAGAGAGACCAGAGAGAGACCAGAGAGACCAGAAGAGAGAGAGACCAAGAGAGACCAGAGAGACCAGAGAGAGATCAGAGAGAGACCAAAGAGAGAGACCAGAGAGAGACCAGAGAGAGACCAGAGAGAGGGGCTAGAGAGAGAGACCAGAGAGAGACCAGAGAGAGAGACCAGAGAGAGACCAGAGAGAGACCAGAGAGAGATCAGAGAGAGACCAAAGAGAGAGACCAGAGAGAGACCAGAGAGAGACCAGAGAGAGGGGCTAGAGAGAGAGACCAGAGAGGGACCAGTGATAGGCCAGAGAGAGAAACCAGAAAGCGAGATCAGTGAGAGAGACAAGAATGAGACCAGAGAGAGACCAGAGATCGAGATCAGAGAGACCAGAGAGAGATACCAGAGAGAGACCAGAGAGAGACCAGAGAGAGGCCAGAATGAGACCAGAGAGAGAGACCAAAGAGAGACCAGAGAGGGGCCAGAAAGAGAGAGCAGAGAGAGACCAGAAAGTCTTGTCTCTGGCTCCTCTGGGATCTGACTTGTGACTTTTCCATTATGGCCCCTGTCGCCTGTTTCCGTCCGCGGCCCCCGTCCTCCCCCCGCGGTCCTCGCCGTGCTCCGGGTGATGGCGTCCGCAGGGTTCGGGCTGGACTGTGATTGCGCTTTGGTGTGATCCCTGGACAGTAGCACTTCTGAACCGCGGCACTTGGCTACAGCACTAAGCACTCCGGCACTTTGAGCAGAAAGGAAGAGCACAGGGACGAGAGAGTCCTCAGAGAGACACCGGAGAAAAGCTGTCCATTAAGAAAAGCAGACCTGAGACTAGAGAGAGACCAGAGAGAGACCAGAGAGAGACTAGAGAGAGACCAGAGAGAGAGACCAGAGAGAGACCAGAGAGAGACCAGAGAGAGACCAGAGAGAGACCAGAGAGAGACCAGAGAGAGACCAGAGAGAGAGACCAGAGAGACAAGAGAGAGACCAGAGAGAGACCAGAGAGAGAGACCAGAGAGAGAGACCAGAGAGAGACCAGAGAGAGACCAGAGAGAGACCAGAGAGAGACCAGAGAGAGACCAGAGAGAGAGACCAGAGAGACAAGAGAGAGACCAGAGAGAGACCAGAGAGAGAGACCAGAGAGAGAGACCAGAGAGAGACCAGAGAGAGACCAGAGAGAGAGACCAGAGAGAGACTAGGGAGAGACAAGAGAGAGAGACCAGAGAGAGACCAGAGAGAGACCAGAGAGAGACCAGAGAGAGAGACCAGAGAGAGAGACCAGAGAGAGAGACCAGAGAGAGACTAGAGAGAGACTAGAGAGAGACCAGAGAGAGAGACCAGAGAGAGAGACCAGAGAGAGAGACCAGAGAGAGAGACCAGAGAGAGAGACCAGAGAGAGAGACCAGAGAGAGAGACCAGAGAGAGAGACCAGAGAGAGACCAGAGAGAGAGACCAGAGAGAGAGACCAGAGAGAGACCAGAGAGAGACCAGAGAGAGAGACCAGAGAGAGAGACCAGAGAGAGACCAGAGAGAGACCAGAGAGAGACCAGAGAGAGAGACCAGAGAGAGACCAGAGAGAGACCAGAGAGAGACCAGAGAGAGACCAGAGAGAGACCAGAGAGAGACCAGAGAGAGAGACCAGAGAGAGAGACTAGTGAGAGTCTAACTATTGGGAGAGAACCACTTCCTGTCTCTCCGGCCCTTTTTCCACGCCCCCTTCTGGTCACATGATTGCAGCCCAAAGAAACCCAGTGTTCTGATTGGGTAAAGAGAGATAGTGATGTTTGTGTAAATGTGGTTTCTCTAATCTCTGTGGCACGAGTGCGTCAGAGCGAGATAAGACGCCTCTGACTTTTCTCGTTACATTTCTGACACAATGTAGCGACAACAATCAAAGCTTCAACTTGTGGCTTTTGCAATTTAGATAAACTACACTTTCGACTCAGTCTGAGAAAACTCCAGGAAGAAATAATCCGTAAACACATCGGTAACTGCGCAGTAACTGGTTTAAAACAGTCTGAAATGTCTTTGTGTCTCGCACCTGTGTTCCCTGCAGCGCCCTCTGGTGTCACAGGAGGGAACTGCAGGCAGGAGTTTAACCATAACCACCACATTGTCACTTTTCTATATATAAAAATCATTTAGAGTCGTTTCCACCGCTCTGTAACGACCAGTTTTCTTTGGTACATTGAAACAACGAACAATGATAACGAACTGTTGGAGTCTGTAGCATTGATTAGCAAAGAATCAATTAAAAATAACTGTTGAAATGATTGAAAAGTATAAATAGCTGCAGGCGTACACTGCAAAAAATGTTGAAAAATAAATAAAAATATATCCCTTTTTTTTGCAGTGTAGGCTACAGTCTTAAAGGTGTATATTTCTACTTCCGGGTGGATCATCGAGACTATTGGTCCTTCCAACTGTCAATCATTCTGGTGATACGTGCTCGTCCAATAAGAGCAGAGAGTTTGTTCAAAAAGTGCAGACAGTTCTTTCCTAAAATGTGATAAAATCCTCCTTTTTACCTTTAAGTGGTCGGAGTAAAAATATGGAATCAAAAATAAAAAAAAACAGCAGCGAAAATGTATGAAATGAATGATCAGAAAAAATAACTTTATAATTAGAAAAAACAAAGAATTTTGAAAACAAATAAATAACCTACAATTATTTTTTATTTAATTTGTTTGTGTTTTTCTTCTTTCTCCTCCTTTTCATGTTATGTTCATGTTTGTTATGTTCATGTTTGTTATGTTCATGTTTGTTATGTTCATGTTTGTTATGTTCATGTTTGTTATGTGCATGTTTGTTATGTGCATGTTTGTTATGTTCATGTTTGTTATGTTCATGTTTGTTATGTTCATGTTTGTTATGTTCATGTTTGTTATGTTCATGTTTGTTATGTTCATGTTTGTTATGTTCATGTTTGTTATGTTCATGTTTGTTATGTTCATGTTTGTTATGTTCATGTTTGTTATGTTCATGTTTGTTATGTATTTTAACATCACGGTTTGGGGACTACAGATGAAAAACAGCCTCTTTTGCTCATTCTAACTTTTAAAAACTCATATTTAATGTGGCTTTTATCAAATTGCATTCTCCCCTTTGAAATAAACTAATCTGAAACTAAAGTTTGACAAGACAATAATTATTTGAAATATAATTGTAAAATGTAAAGTATTTTCATGTCCACAATAAAAATAAATAACAAAGTCTCTGTCTTTAAGAAAGTGACAGTTATGTAAATGTCTCTGTGTGAGGAACAGTGTATATTCAGTTTAGCCTAAACCTCAGCAGTAGTTTCTGAAGGACTTGGACTTGGACTTGGACTTGGACTCTTCCGTGGGTGTAACATG